CCCCCCCCCCCCCCCCGCCATCCCCTCTCCAGAAGAGCTCTCCTACCTCATCGAGGCCCTGTTCAAGACAGAGGTGCTGCCCGGCCAGCTGGGCTACCTGCGCTTTGACGCCATGGCTGAGCTCGAGACGGTGAAGGCCATCGGGCCGCAGCTGCTGCAGCTGGTGTGGCAGAAGCTGGTGGACACGGCCGCCCTGATCGTGGACCTGCGCTACAACCCCGGCAGCTACTCCACAGCCGTGCCGCTGCTCTGTTCCTACTTCTTTGAGGCAGAGCCTCGCCAGCACCTCTACTCCATCTTTGACCGGGCTACCTCAAAGATCACAGAGGTGTGGACCCTGCCGCAGCTGGCCGGCCAGCGCTACGGTGTCCACAAGGACCTCTACGTCCTGACCAGCCACACCAGCGGCTCTGCAGCAGAGGCTTTTGCTCACACCATGCAGGACCTGCAGCGGGCCACTGTCATCGGAGAGCCCACAGCCGGAGGGGCCCTCTCTGTGGGCATCTACCAGGTGGGCAGTAGCCCCCTCTACGCCTCCATGCCCACGCAGATGGCTCTGAGCACTACCACAGGTGAGGCCTGGGACCTGGCTGGGGTAGAGCCTGACATCGTTGTGCCCATGAGCGAGGCGCTCTCCACAGCCCAAGACATAGTGGCCCTGCGTGCCAAGGTGCCCACCGTGCTGCAGACAGCCGGGAAGCTGGTAGCAGATAACTATGCCTCGCCTGAGCTAGGAGCCAAGATGGCTGCCAAGCTGAGCCGTCTGCAAAGTCGCTATGCAAGGGTGACCTCGGAAGGGGCCCTGGCTGAGATGCTGGGTGCTGACCTGCAGATGCTGTCTGGGGACCCACATCTGAAAACAGCACACATCCCTGAGGATGCTAAGGACCGCATTCCTGGAATCGTGCCCATGCAGGTGAGCCACAGAGACGCTTGGTTGAGTCCAGTCCCAAGACAGGTTGACCAGTTGTCTGCATGTTCAGGGTTCTCTCCATGCTACAAGGTGGTAGCTTTTTGGTTGGTTCTAATCTTTAAGATGTCACTAGTCAAGTTTTTGCCTTCTCTTTACCCTCATCAACTCTCTGCACCCGTGAGACCCTTTGCCTACCTTAGTAGGACATTAGCACTTACAGGAACTAGTTTGAAATCCTCTGGGATGAAGGCAATTCAGTCTGGGCTGGATGGGTAGCGGTGTCTGCAGGGGTTTCACAGTCAATGTTGGGGAAAGAAGCCAATGAGGCCCCTGCGGGTCCATGTTGCAACTTTCTCCTTTGGAAATGTGGAGTAGGTGCTAACGCCCATGCCTGCAAGTCTCAGGGCTGTGCAGTGTGTGGGGATGAGCCAGGAGGCGGGGCTGGAGACACACACAGCAGGAACAGGAGGCTCCACTCACAGTTGCCTCTGGGCTAATGCATGGAGCCTGGATACAGACCCCAGAGTGGTCGGGCACTAGGGCCAAGCCCAGAAGACTGCCTTGGTCAGGCGTCCACTGCCCACCCACTCCTCTCCCACTGTGTCCTGAGGGAGCTGTGTGTGGCAGCACCCAGTCTGGTCCCAGGCCCAGCTTGATGGGAAGTCAGATTCAAGACCCATTCTGCCAGTTCAATATCGTGTTATGGGCACATATCTGGAAGCCAGCAATGAAGCTCTGGGGACTCTAAGCATGTGAAATTAGGTCGAGCATGGCTGCCGGGTTGGTGAAGGAAGGTCTCCAGACTAGTGACTGAGGGTGCCTCAGGATTCATAGAGTGGCTGTCCACCAGCTAAGAGGCACGTCAAAGTAGCAGAGGACCCGCAAGCCCAGGCTCCCCGAGCAGGACCATCCCAGCAGGTGGCTACAGAGACTGCTCAGGGCTGATGGACCAGGGCCTGTCAGCGGGGCAGGGTAGCTGGAATCAGAGGGGCCTGAGCACCAAAAGCATTTGCTCCAGAACTGTTCGCCCCGTCTCACATGAAGGGAGACTGAGGCTAGAGGGGTGCAAAGGAAAGCAGCTTATAGCTAGAGAGGATTTGCAGGGACTGCCGGACGGTGCTACCGTCCACACCGGCTTCCCTGCTGGCCCCTGCCCTCAGTCTGGCTCATGGAGCCCACTGTTTTCCAGCAGCCTTGGAGAGAGAAGAGGAGGTACAGCCATGCTGGGCTCACAGGGTCCTCAGTTTCCAAATTGCCTTCTTGTTCCTTTCCAGGGCAGTCAGGGTTCATGGTTTGGAGTCAGATTTGGATTCGGATTCTAGTTCCATTTATTGGCTGTGTGACCTAGGGCAAATTACTTCATTTCTCTGTGCTTCCATTTCTCATGGAAGACAGGGATAAAGGTGTCTGCCTTAGGGTGACTGTGAGGGAGATAAGGGCCGCCCATGTCTTCACTCAGAGCCAGGCCCCGGGAGAGGTAGCGAATGCCTTCCCTCCCACCCCAGTAGAGGGGCGGAAAATGAAATTGGAGACATTAAGGTGTGTTCGGGAAAGCCAGAGGAGGCAGAGAGGAGGCCACGAGCCTTTCGGCTCTTAACATCAGGCATGAAGTTAGCAGACTGGGGGTTGCCCATCAGGGAACCCCTAGACAGCCCTCGAGAAGTGCCCTGGCATCCGTCCCTCCTTCAGAGACGTTGGTGCATATTGCAGACCGCCACAGCTCTGACAGAGAGGTCTGTGGTGCCACATGCCTGGGCTCCCCTGACACCACGCAGGGCCGCCCTCCCTTGCAGATTCCGTCCCCTGACGTCTTTGAAGACCTGATCAAGTTTTCCTTCCACACCAACGTGCTGGAGGGCAACATCGGCTACCTGAGGTTCGACATGTTCGGGGACTGCGAGCTGCTAACCCAGGTCTCCGAGCTGCTGGTGGAGCACATCTGGAAGAAGATCGTGCACACAGATGCCATGATCATCGACATGAGGTCAGTGGCCAGGTCTTGGCCCCGTCCAGGCCACTGCAGCACATGCTGTGGGCCGCACAGGGAAAAGGACCCTGTGGCCCAGCAGAGGAGCTGAGCGGGGTTGGGCTGCCAGCCTGCAAGGGCTCCAGCCAACCAGCCCCACGCTCTGACTCAGTGTGCTGGGGTGGCCTCAGCACTGGCAGTTTTTAAGCTCCTCCAGTGAGCCCAGTGTGGACACATTCCATATGAGAACTATCCCAAACCTGCCTGGTCTTTAGATTCAAGGGTGGAGGAGAAGATGCGTGGGTGTCCTGCAGTGTAACCGTTATGCCATCTGCTGGTACCAGTATTTGGGATTTTCTAAACATATTTGGCCAAAGAACCTCTCATTCTCAAGAGGCTAGACCTCTGGGAAATGCCCTGGTAATGCTGACCCATAAGATCTGGAGGAGGAGGGCTTTGGAAGTAGAAGCCTCCATCGGGCATGAATCCCGGCCTTCTGGATAGAGGCCTGGGTGCCCCAGCTGTGAGCATCCTCTCAGGGGCCCTGCTTTGACTCCTCAGGTTCAACATCGGCGGCCCCACCTCCTCCATCGCTGCCCTGTGCTCCTATTTCTTTGATGAAAGCCCTCCGGTTCTGCTGGACAAGATCTACAGCCGTCCCAACGACTCCGTCAGTGAGCTCTGGACCCACGCCCGGCTTGTAGGTATGGGGCAGAGCCTTCCCCTTCCCGTTCCCGCCCCAGAAGTCCCTGAGAAATTGGGGAAAGACAGCAGAGTTGAGGTAAGACTAACAGTGCCTGGTCCATGCACTCCGTGTACCTGTCTTACTCTGCAGAACACAAATCCCTGTGCCCACTTTCTAGAGGGGAAAAATGGGAGTCAGACAGGTAGAATGGCTTCTCTAGAGGCCCTCAGCTAATAGGTGAGAGCTGAAACGTGGATGTTAGTTCAATGCCAAAATGCCCCACTCACATGTGTAGCTAGTGGATGTTAGTTCAATGCCAAAATGCCCCATTCACATGTGTAGCCACCAGCCTACAGGAAAAATGCAGAAATAAAAGGACCCCACCCTGCAGCCCATGGCTGAGCCCAGTGGGCACTTCCAGTACACGCTTCCTCAAACTCTCAGCAGCTCAGCACCCCTGCCTGGAGAGTGTGCATGGCGCTGGCCTTACAGAACCAGGACTCTCAAAGCCCTGTTCTTGGTGGATGGCCCCACTCCATCTCCCTGCCCAGTGCAAAGCCAGGGACCTGCACTTATCTCATTAAGGGAGCCGGGGGTAACTGGGCTGTGCCAGGCCCCAGCCAGCGCCCACCGTCCTCCGTCTGTGCCTCCTGTTACACAGCCATCTTGCGGCGGCCCACAGCATACCTCCAGAGACAGCACCGCATATACCTAAGACTCAGATCCGGGGGTTCTAAAGTCACACACAGGACCCGGAGTCAGACGTAGGCTCAGATCTGCAGCTCAAGGGGCCCTAGAACGGTGAGGGCCAGCGAGGGATCTGGCCACGGAGCATGAGGCGTGGCTGTCAGCTGAGATGCCTCATCCTTGGAAAGCGTGCACAGACACGGAGCCACGTAAGGAAAACAGGAAAATGAAATACCCCGCCCTTCACTCCCTTTGATCACGTTTTGAAATGAACTTGTTTTGAATCTACTGGGCTAAGTCAGCTGCTAACGGGAATCTGGCCTGTGTCTTCTCACCTGTTTAACGTGGGTGCTAGAAACATCGATTGACGGTGCGGATCACGTCCATTTGCAGTGGGCGGCGTGTCCTGAAGGGCCGACCTCGAGGCACAAAGTAGGCCCCCTAGGGGTGGGGTGGGGAGGCGTTCTGGTTCTCACAGAGAGACAGCACCTCACTTGGCCATAAAAGAAGCCGCCTGGGGAAGCCTCGAGCCCTAACTGCTCGGGGAACACATGTCGGCGTCCCCATTTTCCAGGTGAGTGTGGGCTCAGCCACGGCGAGCAGCTCACACGCACTGAAGGCTGGAGCCGAGCCCGGGCCCTCCTTCCCGCAGGCCCAGACGGTGCCCAGGGCCCTGGCCTGGCGCCCCTCCTGAGGGGCCTTCTCTATTCCAGGTGAAAGGTACGGCTCCCAGAAGAGCGTGGCCATTCTGACCAGCGGGGTGACGGCCGGCGCCGCGGAGGAGTTCACCTACATCATGAAGAGGCTAGGCCGGGCCCTGGTCATTGGGGAGGTGACCAGTGGGGGCTGCCAGCCACCGCAGACCTATCACGTGGATGACACCCACCTCTACCTCACCATCCCCACAGCCCGCTCCGTGGGGGCCGCTGATGGCACCTCCTGGGAAGGGGTGGGTGTGGTGCCCCATGTGCTTGTCCCCGCAGAAGCGGCCCTCTCCAGAGCCAAGGAGACGCTCCAGCACACCCTGCGGAGGGCGCGGCGGAGCCCAGGCTGGCAGAGCCCAGGCCTGCGAGGCCTCTTGGGGGGTGTCCGCGGGCCAAGCCCCAGGCTGAGCAGGACCTCGGGGCCACAGGCCAAGGGGGCTCCTGCACGTGGCCCTGCCTGAGACCCCCAGGGGCAGCACAGGGGCCTGCTGAGCTCCACTGAGGCTCAGCCCGGAGGTGCCCCTGGCGCTCACCCGTCCACCACATAGAGCCTCCTTGTTGGGCCCCGGACACAGGCACTCACCCCTCGAAGGCAGTCCCCTGGAGTAGTTATGTGGGGAGCTGTGGCCCAGCTCTGTCCCCGTCCCCTTGCTTCCTAATCGCCAACCCCTAGTCCTCATGCTGCCACCTCAGAGCACCCCATCCAATGGAATGACATGAACCACGATGCCAGACACATTTGTCCCTTCTCTGGTAGTCACTTTTTTTTTTAGGGGTTTGCATTGTGCATGTGCACTTGCCAGAGACGGAGAGAGGGAAAGTGAGAAATCACCCCACCCCAAGTGGGGGAAGCCACACTGCAAGCCCTTCTCCTCCATTCTCCTCATGGGATTTCGAGCATGCACACATGCACCTGGCACGACTTTCAAGCCACCAGGTCCAGAACTTGAACCACAGTTGGCCATGCGGGATCCAGCGCCTTACCCACCACACCACCCGCTGGCCCAATAGCCACATTTTAGTTTAAGTTTCTTCTCTTTTTCTTTCATGGGAGAGAGATCGAGAAAGACAAGCACACTCAACAGGGCCACATTCTCCTTGCCAGCTAGTCCAGTTCACAGGTGTGCTGTGCACCTGTGTGAAGGGGGACCAGAAACGGGCCCCATCTTCCACAAGGCTCCCGGCATCTCCGCTATGGCTGGGCCTGGGAGACTCACCTTTCAGAAAGCAAAAACAAACAGGCAGTATAGCCTTATGGTATAACGCACCCCCTGGCCGCAGTAGTGTCACTGCAACACCCCCAATTATTGTGGATGAGGTGCTCCTGTGCAGTCTGAGACCCAGCGTGCAGTTAGCACTGTGACACATCTTCGCATGTGCGGTGCTCATGGCTCCTGTGTGGGATGGTGCAGGCAGAGTCAGGCCCACGCCCAGCACCCACCCCCAGGGCACCTCTCCCCACTTGTCTCCTCCCCAGGCTGTGCAGCCCCCAGGGCAGGGCCATCCCGCTCCTCCAGGCTCCCCGTGGCCTGATGCCCAGAGGGCCACCTAATGCAGGTGTAAGACGCTCAGTAAACATGTGAGTGCTCCCACGGAAGCAAGTCCACATCATGCTCCACGTGCGGCCTGAGACACAGACCGAGTAAGCCCAGGGAGGAGGCAGGAAGCTGGGTTGCCCTGCTGCACTGGAGCAGTCAGGAACCCAAAAGTGAGACACAAGTAAGGCCCTGCCCGAATCCTGGGGCTGGTTAGGCTGGGAGTGGGAGGAGAGCCCCAGTCTGGGGCTGGGGGACAGGGATAGTAAAGCGCCCACCTGATCCGGACGGATCTGCAGTTCCGGCTGCAGCTGCCTTGAATCCCCATCCAGCTGGGCCAGCAGAACTTCCCAAAGGCAACTGCCCAGGGAGCTGAGGGATCTGAGCAGGCACTGAGCCACCCACGAGTGATTCTGGGCTTCCCACGGGGTCCCCCAAACCAGCCCTCCTGAACTGCCCTGTCAAAGGTGACATTCCACTGCAGTTTAACTCCCACTGCATTCAAGTAGGACACGTGTGGGGCTGCATTGTGGTGGCAGTGACGGTAATGAGAGCCTCCCTCCCCTCCTGTCACTAGACCTGCCACCTCCAGGCAGCGGAGCACCCGGCCCACAGCTTGTACCTAGGGTTCCCCCCACCTCCCCGCTTTCTCTTCCGTATGTATTCACTGTATATGATGGTCCCCTAAGTTCCAACAATGGTTCCTTCTAGGCGGTAGAATTTGGGGTGATAGTTTTAATTTTTTTCTTTCTAGTTTGCTCTTTTTCATAAATCCTCATAATGAGCACATACGGCTATGTACACATGCAGCAGATATTATTCCAAAGCATAATAAACAGGGTAATTCAATCACACAGCCGCGCCCTCCGGAGTGCCTTGATTTGCATCGCTGCCACGTATGGAGGCCTGGTTTTAGCTAAGGGGCTGTGGATCAGCAGGCCACTAAGGACCTGGAGAGGGGCCGGGGAGTGGCAGCGCTCGTGTTCTCTCTCCCGAGCGTCAGACTGCGTGAGCAACCATTGTCACCTCTGCACAGGGGTTGGCTGAGACCCAGACAAGCTCAGCGGGTCCCCAAGCCCGCACGCCCAGAACCGTGGGCGCTCCCCTCCTCAGGGCCCTGCATTTGCACCCCTGTGGACACTCAGAGAACCACTCCCCACGTGGGCCTGTGGACATGGATGTTCTGGGATTCTGGGCCCGTCTGCCCTGCTGAGACCAGCCCGGCCACTCCCAGCTGTGCGGTTCTGGGCCATTTACTTCCGTGCCTGGTTTAGCTTTCTCCTCGGCTCAGCGGGAGAGTGCTGCTACATTTGGGCTGTGAAGAGCTAAGGCGTCTACTCAGGCTCAGCTAGCGCCAGCTCATTTCCCCACCGCAACGCCGGGCACCCCAAAGCACACTTACCCAGCCCCTGCCGGCAGGGTATGTGCGAACGGCTCCGTCCTGGCCTAGCAGAGGCTCCTGTGCCAGGTGTTTAATCTGGAGCAAGAGGCCAGGGAATCTGGGCAGCAGCTGTCCGCCAGGTGCCCTGTGTGCAGGCGTGACAGCAGTCCACCCACAGCGTCCTCCAGAGACGGCTGCCACCGGCCTGGGCCTGGGCCTGGGCCCGCTGAGCAGCTCCCCCTGCCCTGTGCAGCCAGGTGCCCGGCTTGCCCATCTGAGACGGGGTGCAGCCCAAGCTCCCTGCAGCCGGAGCCTTGGTGTTCTCACAAGCAACAACACAGCCCGGGGCTGGGCAAGCGGCAGCTGGTTCTCGGGCAGCTGAGATGTGGACTTAGGCCTCTCCGGCTGCAAAGACCCTGCTGTACCCAGGACACTGCGAGGAGGCTCTGGATCTGGCCTGAAGCCTGGTCCGCTAACAGTGTGAAGGGCCGACCTGCATAGATGCAAGCCTTCTTGTACTGACCTGCTTGGTGGCAGGAGAATGGACAGAATGGGAAGAATAAGCCCCACCAGACCTCTCTCCTGGGGATAGACCCTGATGGCCTGGTAGCCTCTGCTCGACGGCCCCTGGCCCCAGGCCCCCAAGCCTTCCGTGCCCCAGTCTGACCTGATCAGCCCCACTTTGTCCCCCCGCCTGACCCCAGCACCATCATGCACACGCCCGTCCCTTCCTCAGACCCCTAAACTCACTTGTCGCTGCCCTATGCTCCTCACCCAGTCCTCACGTCACCAGGACCCTCGGTTAACATCCAGTTCAGAGCACTCTGCTCTAGGCCCCGCCTGCCACCCTCTCCCTTGTCTTGGGGTCCCAGCTGGTGCCCAAGTCCCCGTCGAAGCCTCCTGCCCATCTCTGTGCCCCAGGCGGGGGCTCGTCTGCACTGGAAGGGCATCGTCACATGACACGGTGGGTTTCTGTCCGTCCTGCAGATGTGGCGGAGAGGTAGGTGACAGGGACCAATCACGAAGGGCAGGCACAGCTGCTCTGACCTGGCATCCAGGTGTCGGAGCACCCTAGCAGTCCAGCTGGTCGCTCTGTGACAGCATGCGTGACAAATGGATTCTAAAGGCCCTGGAGGGGACTCAAAGCCAGGGTGGGACAGCCCTAGGGGCTTTCCACTGTTCTTGAAGTCCAGACCACTCTGGGCAGGAAAGCCACGAGGCTGTTAGGTGAAGAGGGCACCCAGAGTGTGCCAGGCCCACGCCCGGCTGCCCCTCTGCCCCTCCTGTGAGGGGGAGCCCCTGGGGGCCAGGTCGGTCACAGGCAGGTGGTGAAGCAGAGGTGCCCGACAGGCACCAGCAGACGCACCACAAGCAGCGGGGTGAGGGTGGCACAGACCCTGCTCCCTGGCCAGGGACTGACGGCGGAATGGAGGAGAAGGGATTGTGGTGTGGTCATCCCCCCAGGGGTTGATTTCTCACTTTGTTTCTCTGTCTTTCTGGTGAGTGCACGCACCCTATAGCAAAAACCTCTAAAAATAAAACAAAACAAAACAAAACAAAAAAAACAGAAAAGATAATCAAAGTTTTCTTGTAAATTCTTAGAAGTGAATGGAATGCTAGGTATATCAACTTTTTTTTTTTTTCCTGAGACGTATTGTCTATAAGTTAACTTCTCCAGACTATTCCCATTCTTCACTTAATCTAGGGTATTTAGATAGACAGAAAGCTTCCAGTTTTCTAAGACTTACTCTAATGGAACCATCAGAGTGCTTACTGTTGAGTTCTAAATTCTATAAGGCAAAATATATATGTTCAACTTCCGTGCTGCGTGGGGTTTTACCCCCCCCGGGCCCAGGGCCCGCCTCTCTGCTTTACTGACCACAGCAGAGACTCTGAAAATAGCCTCTAATCCAAGCATCTTAGAATGGCAAGGGAGTGTCCCGCCTTTGCCCTGAGAAAGACCTAGATGGAGGAGGAAGAAAGGGTTAAAGGTAAAGAACCCCCTTCTCCCTGTAGGAGCCAACTACCCACTCCCATTCAATTCAAAATTGGTTTCTGAAAACTCTTACCTCCTAGGAAGGCTCACAAAGCAAAACATGCTGAAGAATGACTTATTTTCTAAATAAAAGGGTAATCCTATGAGATTCTCATCTTGCTAGGAGATCTTTATGCCTACCACATGACTTCTAAAACAAAATTAAGCAGCCAGCAGTGATGAGAACGCACTGCATAGAAGCAGTCTGCAGAGGCAGCCTGCTGCCTCCAGGTGGCGCCATCACAGGCCAAGGGAATGGTGCTCAGGATTGGCTGGGGCTGCTGGGGCCGCTTTCCTGGCTCAGGCTCAGGCTCAGGAAGGGCTCTCCTGTGCTCCCAGAACTGGATGGAGGGGTGTGGGAGGAGGGCCGCTGGGCCCTGCCTGCCTGGGACACCGGGTGGTGGCTTCTGCCCCACACTCCACACCACCTCTTTTTAGCCATCCTCGGTGTTTGAAAAACAATTCAGGAGGCCGGTAGGTGGCACGGTGGTTGGAGCACTGGACTCCCACATGGCTGACCGTGGTTCAAATCCCACTTTCCCTTTCTCTCTGTCTCTCTCTGGTAAACACACATGCCCAGTAGCAAAATTTTAAAATAATAATAATGATGATGAATAAAATTAAATCACTCTAAAAACAAATGGTCAGTTGACAACTTTTCTCACATAAAGTCCTGACTCTGAGGAGCCTTCACTAAGGACACAGGAGCACCAGGTGCCAAGACCCCTCACCCTCCGCTGCTGCTCCCCAGTCTAGGAAGCTTCATTCACTCTCAGTAACCTAGTCATTTGAGTCTCGGATCCCTGGCCTACAGACTTAGGACTTGGCAAGGAGGTCCAACCTAGGACCCTGGTTTTGTGATGGTTTTATTTTGTCCCAAGATTCAAAATATAAAGGAAACCCAGTCTTGGCTCAAGTAGATCTGAATTTAGAACGCCGTGTTTTAGCCTCACTCCACATTTGGGTGATTTTACAAATCTGAACTGCTGAGAGGATTAAGATTCACGCTGCCGTGTCTCCGGCAGCGGCACCAGCCTGTCCCAGTGCTCTCCACCAGACAAGCCTCGCCTTCCGTCTCTGTAGGGGGAGTGAGAGGGCGGCCTTCCCCTTCTGCTGGAGCCATGGCCCAATCCCTCAGTGACCTGCTCAGTCTGGAAAGGAATATGCAGGGGCCCCCTCTTCAGGCCAGGCTGGAGCACTGGAGGGGAGGACCCCAGCCCTGCTCCCGGCTCCCGTCCCACTCACCCTCCTCCTCCCCCGGCCCTGCCCCTGTGCTCCAGCAGCCCAGCCCCAGGACTCAGCGGCCGGTCAGCTCAGCGAGGGCCCGGGGTCCACCGCACAGCAAGGTTCCAGCTGACCCGGGAAGAAAAACCCTGCCAGGAAAGTGGTCGAGGTCCCCTGGAGGGCACCGCCTCCTGCTTCCTGGTACTCTGGGGTTTAGCCACTCCTGGCCCAAGGACCGCCTCTCTGCTTTACTGACCACAGCAGAGACTCTGAAAATAGCCTCTAATCCAAGCATCTTAGAATGGCAAGGGAGTGTCCCGCCTTTGCCCTGAGAAAGACCTAGATGGAGGAGGAAGAAAGGGTTAAAGGTAAAGAACCCCCTTCTCCCTGTAGGAGCCAACTACCCACTCCCATTCAATTCAAAATTGGTTTCTGAAAACTCTTACCTCCTAGGAAGGCTCACAAAGCAAAACATGCTGAAGAATGACTTATTTTCTAAATAAAAGGGTAATCCTATGAGATTCTCATCTTGCTAGGAGATCTTTATGCCTACCACATGACTTCTAAAACAAAATTAAGCAGCCAGCAGTGATGAGAACGCACTGCATAGAAGCAGTCTGCAGAGGCAGCCTGCTGCCTCCAGGTGGCGCCATCACAGGCCAAGGGAATGGTGCTCAGGATTGGCTGGGGCTGCTGGGGCCGCTTTCCTGGCTCAGGCTCAGGCTCAGGAAGGGCTCTCCTGTGCTCCCAGAACTGGATGGAGGGGTGTGGGAGGAGGGCCGCTGGGCACTGCCTGCCTGGGACACCGGGTGGTGGCTTCTGCCCCACACTCCACACCACCTCTTTTTAGCCATCCTCGGTGTTTGAAAAACAATTCAGGAGGCCGGTAGGTGGCACGGTGGTTGGAGCACTGGACTCCCACATGGCTGACCGTGGTTCAAATCCCACTTTCCCTTTCTCTCTGTCTCTCTCTGGTAAACACACATGCCCAGTAGCAAAATTTTAAAATAATAATAATGATGATGAATAAAATTAAATCACTCTAAAAACAAATGGTCAGTTGACAACTTTTCTCACATAAAGTCCTGACTCTGAGGAGCCTTCACTAAGGACACAGGAGCACCAGGTGCCAAGACCCCTCACCCTCCGCTGCTGCTCCCCAGTCTAGGAAGCTTCATTCACTCTCAGTAACCTAGTCATTTGAGTCTCGGATCCCTGGCCTACAGACTTAGGACTTGGCAAGGAGGTCCAACCTAGGACCCTGGTTTTGTGATGGTTTTATTTTGTCCCAAGATTCAAAATATAAAGGAAACCCAGTCTTGGCTCAAGTAGATCTGAATTTAGAACGCCGTGTTTTAGCCTCACTCCACATTTGGGTGATTTTACAAATCTGAACTGCTGAGAGGATTAAGATTCACGCTGCCGTGTCTCCAGCTCCTGCAGCTAACTTCCCTCCCATCCTGAGAGAGCGGCCAAGGCATTCTGCCCATCGGCTCCAGCTTCCGTGGACAGCAGCTCTACCAGAGGCCTCGAGGCCCAGACTGGGTGGAGGAGAGAGAGCTGTGGAGGACAGAGGTGAAGACCGCCAGCACGGCCCGGGGAGACCTTGGGAGTCCGAGAGGAGGACACATCCTGGAGGTAAGGGGTGTCGCAGCTCTTCATGAACTTGAGAGGCAGCTCAGGCTCAGGCTAAGGAAGGGCTCTCCTGTGCTCCCAGAACTGGATGGAGGGGTGTGGGAGGAGGGCCGCTGGGCACTGCCTGCCTGGGACACCGGGTGGTGGCTTCTGCCCCACACTCCACACCACCTCTTTTTAGCCATCCTCGGTGTTTGAAAAACAATTCAGGAGGCCGGTAGGTGGCACGGTGGTTGGAGCACTGGACTCCCACATGGCTGACCGTGGTTCAAATCCCACTTTCCCTTTCTCTCTGTCTCTCTCTGGTAAACACACATGCCCAGTAGCAAAATTTTAAAATAATAATAATGATGATGAATAAAATTAAATCACTCTAAAAACAAATGGTCAGTTGACAACTTTTCTCACATAAAGTCCTGACTCTGAGGAGCCTTCACTAAGGACACAGGAGCACCAGGTGCCAAGACCCCTCACCCTCCGCTGCTGCTCCCCAGTCTAGGAAGCTTCATTCACTCTCAGTAACCTAGTCATTTGAGTCTCGGATCCCTGGCCTACAGACTTAGGACTTGGCAAGGAGGTCCAACCTAGGACCCTGGTTTTGTGATGGTTTTATTTTGTCCCAAGATTCAAAATATAAAGGAAACCCAGTCTTGGCTCAAGTAGATCTGAATTTAGAACGCCGTGTTTTAGCCTCACTCCACATTTGGGTGATTTTACAAATCTGAACTGCTGAGAGGATTAAGATTCACGCTGCCGTGTCTCCAGCTCCTGCAGCTAACTTCCCTCCCATCCTGAGAGAGCGGCCAAGGCATTCTGCCCATCGGCTCCAGCTTCCGTGGACAGCAGCTCTACCAGAGGCCTCGAGGCCCAGACTGGGTGGAGGAGAGAGAGCTGTGGAGGACAGAGGTGAAGACCGCCAGCACGGCCCGGGGAGACCTTGGGAGTCCGAGAGGAGGACACATCCTGGAGGTAAGGGGTGTCGCAGCTCTTCATGAACTTGAGAGGCAGCGGGAATCTGATAGTGGCCACTATGTAACCTAGCAGAACCACAGGGTCCGAGTGCTGAGCCTACAAAACTAGAGAGAGAGCATTTGAGGAATGTGGCAGTTCTTACCCTAGAGCTGCAGAGGAAATTGCACCCTTGCCGATGGCAGGTGCCTTGACAACATGGCCCGCCAAGCCTTGCCCAGTTCACAGAGGTGCAGCCTTGGCCATTCGGACTGCTACAACAAAATAGCATAAGGGGGCAGCTTAGAGGCAACAGAAACTGATCGCACAGTTCTGGAGGCTGGGAAGTCCAAGATCACGGGCCGGCAGCCTCAGTGTCTGGCGGAGGCCTGGCTCACACCTCCTAGCGCGCCCTCCCACGGTGGAAGCAGGGAGCCGGCACACTGAGGAATCCTGGATAAGGGCGCCAATCTCAACCTCCTGGAGGCCTCACCTCCCGATACCATCTCCCTGGGCTAGGATTCGAACACACGGATCTTGAAGGGCACATTCTCACTATAGCAGTGGCAGAGTCTGGGCAGTCATGATCGAGTGTCTGCTCTTCAGTCGATGCAGAGGGGCAGGAAGGAAGGAGAGAGAGGCTGTGACTCCCACAGGGCCTCTGAGAACCCAGTGTGGTGATAATTAGGGACTGCCACACTAAGGAGCTGTGGGTCGCCTCCAAAAGTCCCTGGATTTCGTCCATTCAAAAAGCAATTTGCATCTACATCAATTTTTATCAAAAGTAACTCCATTTTAAAATGTAGAGTTAAGGGAAGATTTTGTTTTGTTTCTTTATAGCTTCAATTTTTCTCACAATGCCCATTCTGTTTGTGAATGGTAACTGGTCATGGTCAGTAAGAATTACATCTGAGGGGCCAGCAGGTGGCATAGTGCTTAGGGCACTGGACTACCACATAGCCAACAGTGGTTCGAGTCCCAGACCTTGAAGCTCATATAAGAGTAGTGTGTGCATGGGTGCCCAAAATCCCGAACACAGAATGGAGGAGAAGGTATTGCAGTGTGGCCATCGCCCCAGGGAGGACTGTGATTTTTCACTTTCTGCCTCTCTGTCTCTGTCTCTCTGGAGAGTGCACAAGCCCTATAACAAAAATATCTCTCTCACACACGCACGCACAAAATTCATCTGAGGTCATCCTATTTTGGGATAAGGCAAGCTACCACAGGGTCTAACTGAGGCTCCCCGTGGAGTGTGGGTGTGTCAAGAGAGCCTCGGGTCGGACGTGTCAGGGGCGTGACCCTGGACCTCGCCGCTTTGCCCTGCGATGCCGGCCGCAGACACGGACCTCGAGGCTCACTACCATTCAGTGGGAAGTGAGCTAGGAAGTCCAAGTCCCTTCGCATTTTTGTCAGTTCTATCTTGGTCCAGTACCTCTTTGCCTCTCGAAGATTTCACAGAAAATGTGGACCAATTCCCTCAGCCGAAGAAGGGAAACTGTACAGGAGTCTTCAGGAAGGTCATGGAAAATGCGAACCATGAAAATGCATGAATTTCAAAAACCACTTTGGCACTGAAATAAGCTTGCCCTTCAGTCTCACTCCTCCCGCAGCTGGCTGGGACTAACCGTCTGCCTCCTAAGCTGTTGAGGTGCACGAGGGAACATGGCGAAGGAATGTATGTCGGGTGCACATGGTGGGTGCCCACCCCATGCCGGTCGGCCTGTCCTTCCCCACCCAGGGCAGCCACAGAGGGAGGCCCTGCAGCATCAGCCCTCTGACCAGGCCTCTGTGGGCAATTCTACCCTCTGAGGGGTCTGCCAGGCTGGGCTGAATGGCCTCCTCTCTGTGAGCCAGGGGCCTCCCGGCACCCCCAGAGGGACAGAGGTGTCCCACTGCACCTGCAGGAAGCCCCTGGCTCCTTCCGCGGAGGACGATGAGAAGGCCAGTCTCTTTCTCAAGCCCATCCTCCCACTGCAGCCAGATGGCATCCCCTAAGTGCCCAAGCTAGGATCCCAGTGTCCTTGGGCCAAATCTCTCCCCTGCGAGCCACCCTTCCCTTTCTGCCCCCCGAGAGCCACCACCCCACTCCATCCTCCTCGTGCTGGCGGAAGCGGAAGCGGCCACCACCATCCCTGCAGGAATCACCGGGGCCTGCTTGCCTTTGAAGCTCAGCTCAGAGCAGCCAGAAATGCCCAAAGATGCTAGATAAACGAATAAAAATGGATCAGGCTCTCTGCCCCCACCCCCGCCCAGGCCAGGGAGACAGTCAGAGAGTGAAGCGCAGTGCTGGGGAGCTTTCCGGCTGCAGGGCAGGCCCTGAGAGACCCTCCAGGACCACACGACAATCATGCATGCTTTCAGGTCCAACCGCTCACACAAACATTAATCCCAGGGCATTTAGTTTGCACCCACAGTAGGCCGTGCACTAGCCCAGCACTATGGAGGTGTGCGGACGACGGACGGGGTCTGCTCCCCTGCGCTGACCGTGAGTGGAGAAGACACAGCCGTCGGCGTGGAGGGGGCTCAGACAGTGAGGCACTGGTGAAGGAGACAACAGGGAGCTGCAGTCCAGAGACTGAGGCTGCTTCTGAGGGGACCTGGGTCGGCCTCTCTAAGGAGGGGACATGGAGAAGACGCCCTCTGGAGCCATGGTGGGAGATGCAACCGGAGGAGCCAGAGAGCCAGTGTGAAAGCCCACAGTTCAGGAAAACCTTGGGAGCTAGCCTCAGATCACAGAGCCAAAGAGCAGGAGGAGGCCAGGCAGGGCCACCTCTGCCCACGCCACCCCTGGGCTTCAGGAGGGTGCCCAGCCCAGGCCAGGAGAGCCTGAGGGGACAGCCAGTGCAGGGGGAGCCCTGTCGACTCCTGAGCAGATACAGCCTTAGACATGCAAAGGGCACTGCACCTGCCTCCCAGGCTCCTGCAGGGCTCAGGACGCGGCGTCTGCACCTCCTGGTTCCAGCACCACCATGCGGCACCCAGGAAGTGAGCCAGGTGCTTGCGGCTTGTCTTAGGGACTCACTCTCTAAGGGCCCAGGAGGCCCTGTGGGGTTCAGGACCACAAGTGCAAAAGGTGGCCAGTCTTGGAGGCTCATCTGCTGTAGGAGAGGAGGAAGGGAGGGGGTCGGAGCAGGCCAGGTTGGAGGTGCTGCTGCCTGGGCGGGGTGGGTGCAAAGCGGATTCGGAGGAGGCCCGCCGAGAGCCTCATCAGCTCCACCTGGTTCCTCCCCAACCACC